TGCGTTCTTTCAGGACTCAGAGCACCCCTGTGGTTTGCTTGCCTGTCAGCCAGCCTGTTACCCCATTTCCAGTTGAAGCTGCTTCTCTGTTTTTCTTCTTCTGACCTAGTGTCTGCACACCTGCACCTCAGATCATCCCCCTGCAGACTTTTTTGTAAAAAACCAAAACCAAAAACCCACTTGGCCACAGTATTTTCATGAACATTTGAAACAAAATTGCAACCACCCTGACTTTGTGAATATTCTGGTTCCCAAACCCGTCTCTCCTCCAGGGCCACAACATCCCTGAAACTCACACTCCTTAATGTTTGAACCACTTGCTGACTTACTTGTTAGTACATTAGTGAATTTTAACACATGCTTGTTCTAAGAGATGGGGCACCTGCATGGCTCAGTTGGTTGAGCTTTGGACTTTGACTCAGGTCATGATCTCAGTTTGTGGGTTTGGGGCCCGTGTGGGGTTCTGTGCTGATAGCCTGGAGCCTGCTTAGGATTCTGTGTCTCCCTCTCTCTCTCTCTGCCCCCCGCCCCTGATTGTGCTCTGTCTCTCAAAAATGAATAAATGTAAAAACAAAATTTTTAAATGTTTCTGGGAGTTTTTTCAAGTATATTTCTCATGAGATCACATCCAAGTAATGCAACATGACCTGCAAAGACCTTTATTTCCAGTCTATTTTATGGCCAAGTGCTCCCTTAAAATTCTACGACTGTGCTTTTCAATCTCTCTGAGGCAAAAGACTAATTTTCCCCCAAATTTATTATGTGCCAGCGACTTTGTAAAATACAATGAAAATGAATGATGTAAACTCGAAATCAAAAGGACGCACAAGAACTTTTCTTGTCTTACTGTTAGATTAACACACATAAAATTACTCAGTTGAATTGTTGTAAAATTTTCTAGGTATTTGCTTTCAGTTTCTATGCTTCTTTTGTCAGAGATAAGTAACAATGTTTCTTGCTCTCATCCGGTTCCTTCCACCCCGCTTTGAATGGCGTTGCTGGTATTTCCAAAATACTTGGAATCCCACAACATTCAAAACTGAAGTATTGCCCATCTGTGGGCCTGTAATTTTTCGGCTTGGAGTCCCCCCACGAGTCAGCCAGCTCTCAGTTTCGGTGAAATCTCTACCACGTCTCTCGTAATCCAGCAGGAAAAAATGCGACTCCCTCCCTCCTGCCCCCAGCCCAGCCCGCAGCACAGAGAACCTGCTCCTGCCCCGCAGCCGCAGCACTGGCTTCCAGCCCTCTGATCATACGGCTACCTCACTGCAGAGTATTTTAACAAGCATTTCAAATTAAAAAAAAAAATTTTTTTTTAATGAGGAGAGAGAGAGAATGGGGGAGGGGCAGAGAGAGGGGGAGACACAGAATCCCAAGCAGGCTCCAGGCTCCAAGCTGTCATCCCAGAGCCAGACGCGGCGCTCGAATTCACAGACCGCGAGATCATGACCCGAGCCCAAGTCGGACGCTCAACCGACTGAGCCACCCAGGCGCCCCCCGGGCATTTCAAATTAAACAACCCAAACCAAATCCTCAGTCTGTACTCCAACTCCGTTCCTTTCAAATTCCTACCTCTCTTAGTTCATCGTAATTGCGACTGGGATTCCAGCTTCTCGGGACAAAAAAAAACCCAGAGTGATTCCTAAATGTGTTTTGAACACGCACATTGCTACTTCCACCCTTGCCCCTGTTCCCACGTCTGTTTGCCACAAAACGGTCAGGATGATCCTCTGAAAAACAGTTCAGAGTCTATCTCTCGTCAGGTCAAAGCCTCCCCCGCGGTTCCCGTCCTCGTCAGGGAAGGGAATCCGCCTCGGAGTCACCTGCAGTGCCAACAGGTATCTGGAGGCTCCCTCTGGCCACTCTCAGAGCAGAGATCTGCAGGGGACAACAGGGGACAAGAGGGAACCACAGGGCACTGGGAAGGAAGGCTTCACATCTGATCCTCACCTGCTTCCTTGCCTAAGTTTGAATTTCAACCTGTTGATACGTGTACTTTTATTGTCCAGGGAGGTTCTTGTGTGTGGATGGAAAAACTCACTAAAATGCACACCGGCTTAAAATCCGAATGTCTTGAAGCCCTCTTAGTGACAACATAAATACATCAAACTGTTTTCCCCAAACATTAAACCCTCACAATCTTTCTATATTTAAGCATTAAATACACAACTAATTAGGGAGCAGAAAATATTTGAAATTAGTAAAATTAATGAAACCCTAGGAAGGCAAATCCAAGAGGAAAATTGCCTAGGAGTTTCCGTAAAATTGTGTTTGTGTGTTTCTCCTTTAATAAAATGGTAGCACTTCGATTTGTTATTTATATTTTCTTCTGTAATAAAAATGGAGGAAGGAAATCACTAAGAATAAAAATACGAGTAAGAACAAGGATTAAAGAAATGAAGACCCAGCTGAGTATACCCAAGAATAAAAATCTAATTATTTTACCAGGGGGGTTTCAAGTCTGTAACTGCCATACTGATTTTAATTTTTTTAATGAGATCATCATTCTTTAACTTGCAAGGAGCTATTGCAAGGAGCTATTACACTATCATTGTGGGGTATTTACTTAGTCTCTTAGCATTGGTTAAGTTTATACATTACAACATTCATTACAGTTATTATACAGAAGTTCCTAGTATTTAATATAACAGAAGTTATAATTTAATAAAACATATTTAAAATAATATAATTAATATATTTCAGAGATATCTAAATTATGTCTCCAGGGATATGAAAACTGGGTTTGAAGAGTTACTTCTCCTTTTTAAAATTTTGACTCAATCATCTTGTTGGAACACACTTCCCAACTTTCTTAGTGCTTCATCATTATGTGTGACAATCTACAATGATTAACCACGGGACCCTTTTTCCACCTGGTTATTATGTGGCGATTATTATTGGTTAACAATCTTTCCTATATTTGATTTAGTGTATAGTTTTTCTGTGATAACCTGGCTTATTATGCCTTTTGTTCAGTCTTGCCTGTTTATGCAAATAGACGTGTGCACAAATGAAACTATAATTAGTAGATATGCACGTATCTAACACTACACTCATTAAAATCAATGAAAGGTTAAATATATACCATAATATTCAAACATATTTCGCTTTGTAACTAAACACATTTTTAAAATTTATTTATTTATTTTGAGAGAGAGAGAGCGCGCTAGCAGGGGAGGGGCAGAGAGAGAGAGAGGGAGAGGAGAATCCGAAGCCGACCCTGCATTGTCAACCCAGGGCCCAACGCGGGGCTCAAACTCACAAACCCCTGGTATCGTGACCTGAGCAGAAACCAAGAGTCGGAGGCTTAACTAACTGGCTTAACTAACTGAGCCACCCAGGAGTCCCACTTTCATTTCACATTTTGAAAATCGTGGTTCTTCATTTAAAGAATATTGGTAGTCTACTTTTGTCTTGGCACAGGAAATGGAAGTAACTACCTCTCCCATAGGAATTTCCTTTTTTTCCCCTTAAATGTAAAAATGGGTTCTGAGGCACATATGGCATTTCAGTGGTAAGCAAAGATGTCACTACTAATACATGGGCAATAGTTTTATTGTGATAGAGATTAAGAATACTTTCTACGTCTTTGAACGTACTGAGTTCACACTGAGTTTATGTGAATCCCCCGTAACCTATATGATTTCCTTCACTGCGATGATGTAACTAGCCAATTTGGAACTATCAGCTGAGACAAAGAACTGGGAGGGAGTCATCACCCTTGCCTCCACATGGAACACCCCTCTGTACAGGCACCTGGGTACCAGCAGCAGTGGAAGTCCCGAAGCTGTTCCAAGCAACCCCGTGGGAAACAGACAGTTAACCAATGGGGGGGCGTGAACTGGAGAGGGCAACTGGCTTGGTGCCACTTGGTAAGAAATGCTGAACAACGGTTTGTGAGCATGGGTGAGGCATACTTTCAATTAGTGCCAGTGCAGACAAGCAGACCAGGGTCACTGTGCTGTGAGTGGGCGTGCAAGTGGGCGCCATTTTGTAGTCATCCAACGTTGAGGCCACATACCACCTGTGCTTACGAGTTCATCTCCCTTTACCAAATAGCTGCTCTTCATTCATTCCGAACTCTCCGATGACTTTCAGTCCCGGTGGAGTGGCCTGTGAGGCCCCTTTGTGATCTGACCCCAACTCACAGGCCTCACCTCCTGCCATGTTCCCCTATTTATTCCATCGTAACCAGCCATGTGGGAGTTTCCAGAACACAGCCAGTACAACCCTGCTTTCGTCTCGTTCCTTTGCTTGGAATGAACGCGCTCCTCCCAGACACTGCGTGGCATGGTTCTTGTTCCTGTTTTAGGTCTTCTCCCCAAAGCCACCTTCTCAGAGCAGCCCATTCTGTCCACCATCTTTGCAATAATAGCCCATTTTCCTCTTTGATTTCCTTCCCCAAATCAGTCTGGGATCCTACTAGATGTTGCTGTCCTCCATGAAGTATTTTTATTCTCTTACTGTCTGCCTCCCAGCCCTCCACTATCATGTATGTTCTATGTGTAAGAGACCCTGTGTCTCTGCTGTATGTCATTACCTATCATGAAGTAGGCTTCCAATAATTATTTGTTGAATGTGGAGTATAGTGTTTAAGCATGGGTTTGGGAGCAGAACTTACAATGCTTACTAGTTATGTGACCTTTGTCTCCTCCCCTATAAAATGGGAAGAATGGGGGCACCTGGGTGGCTCAGGTGGTTAAATGCCCGGCTTTGGCTCAGGTCATGATATCATGGCTCATGAGTGTGAGCCCCGCATCAGGCTCTCCACTGGTGGTGCAGAGCCTGTTTTGGGTCCTCTGTCTCCCTCTTTCTCTCTCTGTCCCCCAGCCCCAGCCCCCACTCTCTGTCTCTTGCTCAAAAATAAATAACTAAACGTTACAAAATGATAACAAAATAAAGCGAAATGGGAATGATGGTGCCTACCTGAGAACTGTCGTGAGGATCGCGTGAGTTAATATGTATAAAGCATGTAGGAGACTGTCTTCTCTCCAGCAGGATGCATTTAAATGTTTATTATTTTTCAATCAGTTTTAACCATACCATAAAATAGCTACTTCTCCTATTCGCTGTAAGAATTGAGCTTATGGTCAGTGTGTGGTCATTATCACATTATCAACAACGGGATTGTTAACTTACATTACATTTTGTTCACACTTGGACCAAGGTCATGGAAAGGGGAATGGCATGTAAGAGAAGTCATAAAGAAGGTTTTGCTGCCTCACTGTTCAGGAACAATGATGAGGCAAAGAGAAGAAAGTTTAGATCTTAGGAACCGACAAATGACGGGCCCATTTACAGAAGAAAGTGAGAGAGGGGGAGGAGTCAACAAAGAAAAGATCATACACTAATTTTAATTCCTTAGGGGCAAAGGCCAAGTCCCCAAAATCTATAGGTCCCTCCTGTGGGTAACCCGAAGAAGCCTTCAACATGGCCTCTCCCCCAAACGCAAGCTCCAAAGCAGGTTGTGCACAAATCTCTTTCTTCCCCCGCAGGAGATATTCTTGGAGCCCGGATCTCTGTCCCACTTTACCTCACTCCACCTAATCAAGTGGTGCACATGCTGAGCTTTCTCCATGCATTAGGTGAAAGATGGCAGATGGGCATCCTCTCAGTCATGGTTGGCCAAGGGCGTATGACTCCTGAACTCCGCCAGGCCTGGCCCAGCATGTACCGATCCCTCCCGTCCTCCTGAAGCTCCAACAATCGCTGCCACTTCTGGAGAAGTCAGTAACAACCCAGAGTGGCACCTTCATTTGTGTGCATAACAGAATACAGTAAGCTCTGGTTTGTACCAACAGCAAAGCAGATTTCCTTCCTGGTTTCATAGCTCACGGGACGGAAAGTGTTATCCTGAACTGTTGAAAACACCACCCTGGCCCTTTATAGAAATAAGCTTATGTTCCAGGGTTTCAGCCAGAATGACATGGTTAACAGTACTAGGTGACAACTCTCGTCTGGGGTGATTTAGTGGCACACTTTGGTCTTGGATACTAACTAGATCCTCACCCTGTAGCTCAAAGTCTATTAAACTACCCAGCCCAAAGGTCTACACCGCGGGATGACACAGAGATTTTCTGACAACCTCCTGAACCAATCCTTAAAACTTCCCTAAATCCTGGCATTTCTGGCCACGTGGTCATATACCCTCAGGGCCCTCTTTGAACCTACTTATGCCAATTTGGGGGAAGAGGATGCATGTGTATAGGTGGCCCAGATCCATCTTCTTTGGGGGTATATCTTGTGCCTCACCCAAATATACACTCACTGCTCAACTACAGTATCTTCTGAGAAGTAGAGCGAGGACATGTTAGGGTATCATGTTCAGGAACCCAGAGTTTCCTGAAAATTGCTGTGCTCCACAATCATCCTTCCCTAAGAGATTCCCTCAGCCTCACTACAATTCAGCAGCAGAGAAACCCAGAGCAAACCTTTGTGGTTAACGGGGGTCTTTGCCTACAGTATAAAGGACTCTGACCAGATTTACTGATGTCTCCTCCTTCCTTCCTTCCTTCCTTTCTATCGGCATTTTAGGGTCTAGCCACACTTATAAAGACAATAACCTGAAAGAAAGAGCTGCCAGTGGCCGTATTGCCACAATATGTAATATATCTTACCACGATATCAATTTGCACAATATCAATGATCAATCTGCATCCTTCAGTGACACCAGCACAATGGAAACATGTCAGTTCCTGAAAACCTATGGCCAAAATAGGGAACTGGCATCTCTAAGATGTTTCCTGGAAAGCCAAAGTTTATACCATTTGTCCACTCAACAAAAATAATTTTAGTCTCCCACTATATGTCTAGCTACAATCTAGGCATTGTGACACACATGTGATCAAGACAGATAATACACATGATGTCACAGTGCTCACATTTTAGATGGAAAGGACACTAAGTACCTAAAAGCAAATGAGAGAATTGCAGCCAACTCCAGTATTCAAAACAAATAAAGAATGTTCAACTAGAATGTGATGGAGATAGAGTGGCCACCTTGACCACACTGACCGCAGAAGTCCTCTCCATGAAGGCGATGCTTGAGCTCAGAGCCAACGGCTGTCCCAAAATCATCCGTAGGAGATCACGGTGAGTGAAGAATGTCCCGGGTGGAGGAAAGAGTAATTATAACGGCCTTGGGCTGAGATAAAGCTTGGCTCAAGGGAAGGACAGAAAGAAGAAATGTGTCACGGAGGCACAACACACGGTTGGGTGAAGATCGGGTGAGAGGCCAGGCAAGTTAGCTCGAGGCATCATAGGAGTTGAAGAATTATTGTGACCACAAAATTAGAGTAGTGGGGAGTAGTCCTCCCAGATAGGAAATATCGGAAATACAGTAAGACCTTGGTTTGAGAGCATAATATGTTCCAGAAACATGCTTGTAATCCAAAGCGCTTGTATATCAAAGTGAATTTCAAGAACCAATGGCTCAGTTGTAATCATGTGACGTTTTGGCATCCTGTACTATTCATATTGCAAGACATCACTCTTTTATCAAGTTAAACTTTATCAGAAATGTTTGCTCACCTTGTGGAACAAGTCACTAGCAATCCAAGGTTTTACTGTATATTTATTTGCACCGTGCACTGGAGCTAGAAACTGACAAGTCCTTACATGAGCCTCTTCGTTTCACTAGAGGCCACTGCCTATGGCCTTCTGCCACGTGAGGGAAACTTGAAGTTCATCACAGAGTGCTCCAAACAGCCCTGTAAAATTCTGCCTTCCTCCCCAGACACTTGGTGTATAAGCCGTCTGAGCATGCGATGCAGAAGGTGATGGCCTGACCCTGAGACCTTGTTCATGGGTAAGAGTACAGCCTGGGCACAGGGTCACAGAACCCTGTCTCTTAACTTGAAAATGCCCCATATAAAGAGAGACACGTGTCCACTAAGAAATCTGCACAATCTGCTCAATTACCTATGGGAAGGTGTCAGCCGGACATCTGCGTGAACTCAGTGCCTGAACAGCTTCCCGCATCCCAACAGGCTCGGCCACAGGGGTCTCAAAGTAAGCAGATAATTTTAAAATCCATATTTTAAAAAGTGAGGGGAAAACTGTAAATAACAATGACAATAATTATAAACCAAACTAATAAAGAAAACTAAACACGTAGTGTCTGATCACTCTCTTCCTTCTCTACCTTGGCTCTGCCCATCCTTGGTCCCCATGTCCTCTTACTGACCGACCACTCAAAGTAGGAATTTCTTCCCTGGGTACATACAACACGAAGACACACGTAGTCACAACACAGTCTCTGAGAAATGGGAACCGCAGGCCAGCCCCGCCCTCATTCTGACGGGAGACATCTCCTGTGTTATTATTTTCTTGAAAAATCTCTGAAGACGCGCAGACACCCCAATCACTGTGAAGTCTGGAGCCCTCGCCTGCCTCCCTCAGCTTTGGTGCGAGACACAGGGAGACAGAAGGAGTTTTAATAAGAACATGGCCAGGCGATGCAGTGATGTCAAAGGGGAATAGATTAAGAAAGCATCATTCAACTTGACAATGGATTCATTTCAATCAACATTTACTGACAAACATCTTGCTCTAAACCAGCTACATGATTTGTGGGGCCAGTACAAAATGAAAATACAGTCTCTCCAAGTTTTACTAAGGATTTCAAGACTGCAACGCCCACGGAGCGGGCCTTGAATTTTGGTCACAGGTACCAGTACAAACACCTGTATCCTGCTTTCAAGCAACTGAGAAAAACAAAAAACAAAAAACAGAAAAGCAAAAGCCTCAGTAATCACTGTTCAGAGCAGGAAGAGATGAACGTATTTGGGTCCATGTTTCCAATCTTGGAAGATCTTTCAATTGGGCAATCTAGGGAAACTTCCATGAGAAAGAAGCTTCTCAATTAGAGTTCGAAGAATCCAAAGCAATGAAGACATGGCCAATGCAGAAAAAGATATTGCTGGCAGACGGGAAAAAGCAAAACATAAAATAAAATAAAGATTTGTGAAGGGGTCAAGATGCCCGCCACTATAAGCCTTTTTTAATCAAAATTATGCTTTGTTGATAGGTATGAACCATGCGTAAGAAGCAGCAGAAACGGGTTTTCTGTGGGAGGGAAAGCTAACGTTGCCAGAGGGGGTTTAGGCTTGCTTTCAGTTTCTTGAGAAGTCTGTTCTTGATCCAGGATTCCCGGGGCACGTGGAGCTGGCGTCCAGAAGTTCCGGGTCCCCGGGCGCTGGCCGCTGCGGCGGAGTCAGGACTGGGTGCACCGGGCGCCACGGCTTTCCCATTTGAGCTGTAGGACAGGAAGAGGGTATTGATCCCGATGAAGGGCAATCCGAGAGAAAGAGAGGAGGATGGGGGCAAGAAGAATGGGTTGACAAGAAGGGGACGAGACAGCAGAAGAGGTTCACCTGAGCTTTTTAAGCCGGGAACACAGGACCAGCAGCAGGAGCAGGGTGACCAGCACGGCGAGACACATCAGTGTCAACGGGGCCCATTCTCCACCTCGTTGGGGGTAAAACAAGGACGTCAGTCGCAGGCCTCGAGGTTCTCTATGCAGCGGCCACCGTGGGTGCCACTCATTCCACGGGGCCGCGGGGGCGCGGTCCTTCCTGAAACTTCCCTCTGCATTTTCTGGAGCTCTCAACTCAGCTCCTCCTACGTCTGTGCCCCCATCGTCCTGCCACATCTCTTCCCCCAAATCGCCAGGTCCTTCTTTGTCTCTTTAGTGCCTCAAATTCTCCACTTCCATTTTGCTTGGAATTTAACAGCAGCCTTTCTCGGCCCGTGTTTGGGTCCATCCTCCTGCTTCTGTTCTCTTGTGCGTGGCGTCCCCACCTGTCTCCCAAGCACCTCACTCAGCGGCCCCAGGACCCGGGGACGACTGTCACTTCCCAGCCAGGCCCCAGCTCCTTCTCACCCCAGTGGATGATCATGTCCTGGCCTCCTAGGCTGCTGTGCTTGACTCGGCAAGACAGGCCGGCCGCCTGCCCGGCCGCCACGTCCAGGGTCACCCGAAGATACCACGTGCCGTCAGCGTGGGGCAGGACGTCGCCTCGCCGGGTGCCCCGTTGCTCCTGGTCACCCCGCATCCACATGACCCACACGGGCTTCGGGTGGAAGCCGGACACATGGCACACAAGGAGCAGACGGCCAGGACCGGGTCTGGGGCCAGTGGACAGCCAGACCTCAGGCTTCACTAGAGAGAAGAGAAGGAGACGTGGATCTTAGGGGGCACCTGGGACCGAGCTGAGCGACTCAGTGGTCGTAGCGGGTGGATTGATCACTTCCTTCTCTCGTCTGGGAAACAACCTGAACCCCACATAGCCCACTCTCTAGCCTCTTGTCATACGTTTCGAAGGGACGGTAAAGAGTGCAAAGTCCCATAGGAAGCTCTAAGCCCTGGGGATGCTCACCTTGTCGTCCCAGCTCGGACTTCCCTGCTTCAAGGATTCCCGCCAGAAACCGGGGGCAGGTGTGGCTGAGAAGGCTCAGCACGATCTCCTTAATATCTCGGTAGCGGTTGAGCACGGCACAGACCTTCTGAGCCCGACTCCCCGCTCCTGGAGATGGCTGCCAGGAGTTTCCTTGGAAACTCAGGAAGTCTGAGCCTTGGTAGGCCCCGTTGAAGAAGCTTCCCGAGGGCTTCCCAGCGCGCCACGTACAGCCAGCTAACACCTGGAGCTCGAAGGGGTCTGGGGGCGGACAAGGAGGACAGAATCTATGTGGAAAGCGTCCCAGGGAGGAAGCGTAAGCGGTCTGGAAGTAAAGGGATTCAAGGGAAGGGGACTCTGCTGGGGAATCACACGGCACACTGGAGTTGGGTCGGGGAAGGGAAAGCAGTTGTGGGAAGAAAACGCGAAGGTGAGAAGGTCTTGAGGAATGACGAACGTGCAGGTGCCTGATGGGAAGGTGCTGGAAGTTGGGGGCTGGGCTGGGAGGGCTCCCTTGGAAGGGGTTAGATACACCCGGGCCTGGTAGACTCTCAGGCCAGAGAGAAAAGAGTGCAGAGTTCTGGCTGGGAAAGTCTTCTGAGGTTGGGGGGTGGGGGGTGGGGGG